TTTACTGAAGGTTTCTCGACATATTATCGTAAAAATCAAACTCAGAGCATTCTAAATTATCCAGTTATCCTTTCTGGAGACGACAGACTAAACAATTGACAGCATGCATCGTGGTAGTATTAATGTTTAAACGCTTGAACTAACAAGAGGAGGTTGTGGATGTAAGGTAATTTAGTTGCGATGTCGTCGCTAAGGTAACTAAAAACTGAAGAAATCAAGCTGGATAACTGAAAAGCCATGCAGTCAGGCATAGCGAGTGTTAAAATTTCAGTAGCACTGAAGTAGCATATGAGAAACAAACGAAACGTTCCGTTTGATAATACTGGCTACCATATTATGCTTGACGATTATTTCTAGATGAAAGGATTAATAATATAAGTCTGTTTCTTCGTCGTCTATGTTTCTTTCCTCCTATAGAAGTGCTTTCCTAGCAGGAAATTACTTCTCTGCGCAGTTGAGTACAAGATATTATTCTTAAGTAATTTACGCTGAATCTCTTTTGGCTCATTAAGTCAAGATCTGTTTTGCAAATGAAAATGAGAAACAACGATCCCATGGACCACGGAGGGCCATGGTCGGAAGGAACGTGCTGTAAAATAATATGAAACAGGCGGGAGATGTTGAGGGTAAATAGAACTTGATTAGAAGTAAACAACGACCGTGAGAGAACATAACAGTAGATATATCACGGATAACAACAGGGATACGTCATTTCTTAACCCTTTAACTCCCAAGATCTCATTAGTAATTCTCCTTACTGTCTACCGTGTAGTTCTTGTGATGTTAGTTTGGAGAATTTGGCATTGGATCAATTAATAATCCCCTCATTTATATTTTCTTTTTTCTCATCACATGTCTGCTTGATATTGTATTGATATTGTAAGGAGAAAGTCTGTCTTGGTCACTCATGGGAGTTAAAGGGTTAAGCTATTTATCCTAAGGAAATCTGTAGGACAAAAATTTAAGTTTTCGAATCATTTTAGCAGTCTAAGACACTGTCAATCCTCAAGGTACTGAGCTGTTTATTCGCTAATCTGAATGGCTGAGAAAAGGAGATCATTTAAAGTCCACAAACTTGTTCAAGTGGTGACGAGAGAAAGCCACCTAACTTACTTGTTGAAGGAAGAAACATTAGCTACAGTCAATCCTGTTCTACTCTACTCTATACAAAATCTTCATATAGATGTAACAATTTAAGGTAAAATATATTCTAAATTAGTACATATACATTAAATTTCTGCCTCCTTTCACAGGAATATGACTTAGTTTATTATCACACTGTCAGTGTACCAAAGATCAGGGTCAGCCATATCTCCTCATTAGAGGAACCTCTACTCTTGTTTCTCCTTCTCGTGAAAAATTTCTGTACAGATTTCATTTTCATGGTTAAAGCTAAATGATAGAACTAAGCTAAATGATAGAACTAAGACTAAGTGGAGTCTTAAGTGGTCTATAATCATTAATCAAAAGTTAACTTAAAATTGGACTGCGCTGGAAATGATCACCAATTCAAGAAGCCCTGGCTGTGAAACAAACTCTCCTTGTCAGCATCATGGGATATGAAAAGACAATAGTGCCCAGAATATGAATGCTAGAGTGTAAAGGGTTAACCTTTGACTCCCAAGATCTGATTGTTAATTCTCCCCTCACCCTGTTACACATTTCCTTTTAAATTGGTTATAAGAATTTGGTGTTAGATCAAGATAACAACTTTTACCTGAAAAGTTTGAGGATCCTCTTTACCATTTTGCCGGATAATGTATGGATAGAATAGGGAGAAGTTACATATTTATCACTTCTGGGAGTTAAAATGTTAAACAAGGTTGTACTACACTCTTGTTCTAGTGTAACCCCTCTAATGAGCACTGAATTTCTAGATGTGGCACTTATTCATGTGTTAAATCAAAAGAATACAGTAATAATCTATGAAGGATCTCAAATTAACAGAAGTGTATATCTCTGAGGGTTAGAAACTTGTAGAGACATTGATTAAATATGAGTTTGTTCTTGTATTAATGCCTGGTAAAATAAGACTTTCATGAGCTTTGCACTATTAATAAAATTTAATTGGTAATGGTAATAAGACTGAATGGTTCTTAATGTGTCTGTAA